ATTTTTGGGACAGAGAGAGACAGAGCATGAACGGGGGAGGGGCAGAGAGAGAAGGAGACACAGAATCGGAAACAGGCTCCAGGCTCTGAGCCATCAGCCCAGAGCCCGACGCGGGGCTCGAACTCACGGACCGCGAGATCGTGACCTGGCTGAAGTCGGACGCTTAACCGACTGCGCCACCCAGGCGCCCTGAGGACTGTCTTTAAAAAGTTACTCTGGTGTGCACCAGTCTCGATGTTGGCAGGAGAAAGAGGAATAGGGTGAAACACTGCTTCCAAGTCACAATCTAAGTTTATTTTATTTTATTTTATTTTATTTTATTTTATTTTATTTTATTAATTTAATTTAATTTAATTTATTTTATTTTATTTATTTTGAGAGAGACAGAGATAGCATGAGTGGGGGATGGCCAGAGAAAAAGGAAGAGAGAGAATCCCAAGCAGGCTCCACACTGTCAGTGCAGAACCCAACACAGGGCTTGAACTCATGAAACAGCAAGATCATGACCTGAGCCGAAACCAAGAATATGACGCTTAACTGACTGAGCCACCCAGGCACCCTTGTAAGTTGATTTTAAATGATTTATCTCCTGGCCTTCCTTCATGTAAGCCATTTTTCCAGTTATTTTATGATTGTACTTTGAATTGCATTTTAACCATATTTTCCTAAGAACAAATGTTATGCAACATTGCCCGAAAGGCATCAGGGATTTTCTCCCCTTTCCCCACATTACAGTTAAGTCATTGTGTAAAGTATTGTTAGAATTTGGGAAACTTCTAGCTCAGGATCATGTTCAAATGACAATCAGGAGCAAGCTGCCTCCCTAGACAATGAGTCTTGCTCATAACAACAACAGGCTGTCTTCTCATCTAGAATATCCTCCCTTCCCTGTGATGTTCCCCCTCTATCCCAGCCATCCCTCAAGGCCCAGCCCCAACCTCCATAGCTGAGCAGAGAAAGCTCCAATCACCCATCTAGACACCCCAGCTCCCACATCTGTGCCACTCACACTGCACGTACTTTCTGCCTTTTTTGGTAGTGATTTGTGCTCGTGCCTGACTACAATTTAAGACTGGTAGCTTCTGGCAGCCGCAGACTGTTACTCATTTTCCTCAGTGCTTATCCACCATGGTGTCCTGTTTCTGAGAAGTGCTGAAAATATGTTAACTGAATAATGCATAAATAAACGCATTCACTGCTCCCCTAAGTGACTAGCACTCTTGCCATGGAGCTAATATTCTCTCTTGTCTTTGAGATTCTCCAGTGTTTCAAGCAATATATATCTTTCTTCCAAGGAGGACAGTGCATTTATTTTGTGTATCCAATTTTGACAGAACCAAAGTATGGTCTTATAATGTTGTCGATTTTTATCATATACTGCTAATTTCTCTTTTTTTACTTTATATTTTTAAATATAATTTATTGTCAAATTGGCTTACATACAACACCCAGTGCTCCTCCCAAGTGCCCTCCTCAATGCCCATCACCCACTTTCCTATTTAAAGGAATATGTTTGCCACACTGATGAAAAAAAGAGAAGGCTATAGCACAAGAGGTGCTCAATAAGTAAGTCTTAAGTGAATGAATGAATGAATGAATGAATGAGTGATAATAGGAAATCAGATAAAAATAGAAAGAAGAGTAGAAAAAGAATAGATGCACAGGAGATTTAGAAAGGAAGTAGAAAGAGAGGATAAAGGGAAAGGAGACTCAAGAGTAATTAAATTCCCAATTAGCAATTCTGGTTTTACTATAAACTTGAACTTGGTTAATTAATTAATTAATTTTTTATTTATTTATTTTAAAAGATTTTTAAAAATGTTTATTTGTTTTTGAGAGAGAGAGAGAGACCATGAACAGGGGAGGGTGGAGAGAGAGGGAGACACAGAATCCAAAGGTGGCTCCAGGCTCTGAGCTGTCAGCACAGAGCCTGATGAATGGCTCGAACTCACCAACTGCAAGATCATTCCCTGAGCCGAAGTTGGATGCTTAACCGACTGAGACACCCAGGAGCCCCTTGAACTTGATAATTTAACAAGTAGAGAGGAGAGCCACTGTAGCAAGAGTTATATGTCAATATATTTTATTACTGGTCATGTTGATCTGGAGCACTTACTTAAGGTTACGTGTATACTGGGTGTCTCCACTGTTCCATTTCCCTTTTGAAATTAATAAATATTTTATGGAGAGATACTTTTAATTTTTAGTTATTTAGTTATTTCTTTAAGTAATCTCTACACCTAACATGGGGCTTGAACTCACGACCCAAGATTAAGAGTTAAGTGCTCTTCCTATTGAGCCAGCTGGGCACCCATTGTGAAGAGATACTTTTAGGCTAAGCCAGTATCTTGTTTCTCACCATAATTTTGCCCAGTAATATTAGCATTCATCAGTGCTTCTTGCTTGTAGCAATTTATTGCTGGGGGATCCTAATGGTGATTTCCTATTTTTCTCATCCTGCCACATTTATGAATTGATTCTTTTATAATTAAGAGCTACCGCTCCCCTCCTATTATTTTAGCTATTCATTTATTTATATCAGTATGGACTCATAAATACTTATTCTATGAATCATAACCCAATACTATCATTATTTATTTTGCTATTTAAGCTTTACTTTCTTTGTGAGTCAGGGATAATGACATCCACCTTACACAACCATGATGAGGATTAAATGGGATTTAAAATGTGAAAATGTCTAGTCCAGAGCACCTAGTAAATAAATGCTAGCTCCTTTCCTCCCTTTTCTTTACAGAAGGTAAAGCCACACAACCTTGGAGGCAAGACCCTTCTAACCATGTGAAAATCTGAATTTAAGAATTCTCTTTTAATTCTCTTTCTACACTAAGGTATATAAAGCAACTAGAAGTTAGCTAGCCAGTGTTGCCTACTGGAGGTTTTTTCTCATCTGCCTGTAGTGACCATACATAGGACTGATTTTTAATCAGTATACTCATAATTTGTATGAAAATAGATGCTTGAGAATACTTGAAAACAGACTGTTCTCTTAAGTAGTTTAAGTGTTTTCCCAGAAATCTTGTTTATGTTCTGAAGTTGCTTAGCTAAACTATTTTCAGAGATAGTCCAAAGCACGCCTCAACCCAGCTGTGCTTCGTATCATCACTAAATCTGAATTAGCGAAATCACTGATTCATCTTTGATTCCCAAGGTTATGGGAGTGAATGGAAGAAACTGAAGTTTTCTTTCTCCAAAATTAATTTAAAATTAGACTTTAAAAGTTCAGGCAAAGCAAACTTCAGGTAGAATTAGAACGACAACGAAAACAACAACGGACAAGGATAAGGTCCTAAGGCCGTGAGAGTGAGTAGATCTGGAAGTTTAAAGCAATACACAAAATACAGTAAAATCTACTAATAAAACACTCAATTTACTGGAACTTCCATTTTCCACCCTGTATTTATCAGTAGGGAAAATCAAGAACATCAGGAGATTTATTTTAAAAAGCGATTTAGGGGCAGTGTGGTTCACAGGCTCTCAAGTAGACTCCCAGAGTCTACTTACTTGCTTTGGGGTGGGATCAAGTGCCACCCCTCCACGTGAGCCTGGAACAGGTAGTGTAGTGGTTCACAGCCCAGGATCTGGGGCCTGATGATGTAGGTCTGGATATCACTATTGTCATCGACCACCTATGTAACTTCGGGCAAATGACTTCATGTCCTGGTGCCCCAGTGTCCCCATTGGTAATATGGGGCTAATGAGAGTATCTGTCTCCCAGGGTTGTTGGGAGGAGCAAATAAATGGTACGTGTAAAATGATGAGCATGACAATGCCAGACGGTATCAGCAATTCCTGAGGATAACAGATCTCCTTTTGAGGAATGCTGTTTGGGGCATGTCTGGACACAGAATTGCCTGGATTCAGCCTCTAACACTTTCTGCATCCACTGGGCCTTATCACGGTCACTGACATTTACCACCATCATTGGAGTCATGATCGGCAGGCTGTGGAGGCTGTGAGGTGAGCTGCCACAGTTGGAAAGGCTTTAAGTAACAAAGTCTGACTGGTCTTCTGTCCATCAGAGATATATGGGACACAGATCAGGGGCAACCTCAGCATTTTAGTAGTTTACTGGATTACTAAATTAAACTATTTGTGGAGTTAAGCCAATCAACAAACGCAGATGGAAATTTTGTGTTTTAACATTCAAAGAAAAAGAAATTAAGCCTAAAAGAAATAAAATGTAGAACAGAAAACTCTGGGTGTGGGGTTATATGGGGAAAGAAAATGTTCTGTAAGCCTAAGAGCACAGCATCCCCTGGTCCCGGCACTGGATGGAGACCTGCCTTTCCTTCCTTGGTCCAGGACCACACCATGTCAACCATTGGCTCTTTTCCACCCAGCCAGCCCCTACACCTCTCACAGTGTCTTCTGCTCAAGTGTTCCAGTATTTCCAGTCTCTGGTCAAAACTGTTCTCACCAGCTCTGGGTTCTGGTAAGGTCTCAGAGGCTTTGGAGGGACTTTCTGGGGCTGAGGATTTTGATGGCATGCAGGGAACAGGAGTGGGGTGATTGATTGTCTCTCAAATCCACATTTGTCCCCATGCTCCTGACCCAGGTGTGTTGGTTTTTAAATTTCTGCATAGAAGCCCTGATAGTGGAAGAAGGGGTGGGCTAGACAGATCCATGGCCAGAGATCACACTGTCAAAGATATGTGGTTTTAAAAGCACTTGTAGGAACAATGAGGAGAATATTGGAAAATGGGCCCAGGGAGAGTATTTTGGACTGGTTGTCCAAAGGGAGAAGGCCCGTGGACTTGGTGGAGATAGGATCAGTTAGGCCAAGGGCAGGTTGGAGGGAAGTGACAGAGAGGGTGACAATGTGTTGTTGATCTCATTGCTTGTAAAGAAAGCAGCCACCATGGAAGTCACAAGACCAACAGGTAGATGAGACACCAATAACAGACAAACCTAAAAGGAGAAATACGTTTAAAAATCACTTACTAGCAATTGAATCACCACATCTCCAAGTGGCTTCTTACCTCATTAAATCTCATCACAAGATCTTCCAGGGCATTGTGTTCTCCGTTCTGGGAGTTAAGAATTGATGCTGAGATGGACGCTTTGAGGCAGGGCAGGGATGTCTGGCATTCCGGAGAGCCCAAGTCCCGGGTCAAGAAGCAAAGGTAGTCAACTGGCAAGACCCTTCGGTAAATGTTCTGCTCCTGCTCCATCAGGATGCTGGCGACTTCCTCTGGGAACTGAATGAGGGGCTGCAGATCAATCAGCTCCTTGCTGATCCCAGCTGAACTTGAAGGGAGGGCACTAGAATTGGCCATGGAGGTGCCTGGCTGACGTTCTGAAATAAAGCAATGAAAGTTGTGGTGACACCAAGGTTGATATCCTTACAACAGATGTTTACTTGAGAGCCACTAAAAATCTTACAGGTTTCTTAACCAAGTTTCTGCTTGGTGAATAGTTCTATACTATCTTGTTATGGAGACCCTTCTGATAACTGTCCTGCCTGCTTGCTCCTGCCCACTGTGGGTGGGGAAATGCTCAGTTTCCCATTTTCAGAAGTGGAATTGGTCTCACACACCATTCTCTAATCAGTTCACTGTGACACTTTGCAGAGTAGTAGGGAAGGAAAATGTACCATTTGTTTCCTCATCCACAGTGCTAACCACCAGAGTAAAAAGAAATGTGGGTGGGTGTGGGCACAGGAATTGAGATGGAAGAGGAAAGAAGGCTGGAGGGGAAGAGGCATGTACATGTATGTATGTGTACCCTGTGTGTAAACACCCAGGAGTCCCTGGGGACTCTCTGCACACAAGGTTCAAAGCTTCAGTCTACCTGCCAACCTTCCACCCTCAAAGACTGATTCCACTGAGAACCATTTGGAGGTTTGCAGGGACAGAATCACTTGTAAAAGTAAGGGAGGAATAGGTAATAAGGAGATGTATCTACATAAATAGAACAAATAAATAATAGATTGCCTCTCAAACCCACATTTGTCCCCATGCTCCTGACACAGGTGTGCTGGTTTTTAAATTTCTGCTTAGAAGCCATGATAATGGAAGTATCCACAAGTGGCAGTAAGAAACTGGTAAGGGAGGGAGAGCAGCCAGTGCATGAGACATAAGAACCAAATGTGTTCATAGGCTCCAAATTATTCCCTTAGCACAAATTCACTTTATTTGACCACTCTCCCTATCTCTCTTTTTTTTTTAATTTTTTAACGTTTATTTATTTTTGAGACAGAGAGAGACAGAGCATGAATGGGGGAAGGGCAGAGAGAGGGAGACACAGAATCGGAAGCAGGCTCCAGGCTCTGAGCCATTAGCCCAGAGCCCGACACGGGGCTCGAACTCACAGACCTCGAGATCGTGACCTGAGCCGAAGTCGGACGTTCAACCTACTGAGCCACCCAGGCGCCCCTCCCTATCTGTCTCTTAATTTCCTGCCTACAAGTCATTCATTCATTCATTCATTCATTCATCTACTTAACCAACCATCCATCCATCCATCCACCCATGTAAAAAGCTATTCAAAAACCTATGATGAGCACTAGAACAGAATGTCCCAAGTATGATCAGTTTTGTGGCTAAGTTGGGGAAATGTCATGTATTCATGTCACAAATCCTCTTCCTGGAAACACGAGGCACACAGGTACACTGTTAAAGGCTCTAAGGGGTCTTGCAGTAAAGAAATCCATTTACATTGCTTAATCCAGTGCTTCCCCAGAGTCACATTTTACATGTCACACCTACTAAGCCACTCTGTGTAGACCAGAGCTGCTGGGAGCCCCTCAGGAAACGTTGATCTGCGTGCAGGCCAAACTGCTCCTACTCCTCATCCAGTTCACACCTTTTCCTTCCCAGAGGTCCCTTCCTGGCTGGCTCCTCTTCATGCTTCTTATAGTGGTTCATGAGGGGACCACATTTTATTTCCCCAGAATCTTTCTTACATTCCCGATTTCTTAAAACAGCCTTATTGGCCCTTTGGCAGAATAAAGCCCTTCAGATGGCATGGCATTCCTCATTGCCGGCGGTCATCTGGCTTGGACACTGGACAATGGTAAAGTTCATGAGGAGGACTTTGTCCAGGCGCCTGGGTGGCTCAGTCAGTTAAGTGACTCTGGATTTTGCCTCATGTCATGATCTCATGGTTTGTGAATTCAAGCCCTGAGTTGGGCTCTGCACTGGCAATGCAGAGCCTGCTTGTGATTCTCTCTCTCTGCCTCTCTCTCTGCCCCTCCCCTACTCTCTCTCTCTCTCTCAAAATAAACAAATAAAGTTGAAAAAAAAAGTGAAAAAGGAAGGCTTCGTCAACATTCAAACCTTAGCATCCTTGACTCTTTTTAAAATCTCTATTGTTGACAGCCTTGGAATCATCACTCCAAAGTGCTCCATCCCTGTAGTACTGAACCCTGAAGTCCTTGGCCTTGAATCTGACTGCTTTTCCCTTCTTCCCTTTCTACTAAACCTTCTTTGTCTTTGGCAGACTTCCAGTTCCCGGCCTTAGTCTGGGTGCAACCTTAGAGTTTTAACATGGCGCCCACAACACCCAAGATGCCCTCCCGAGTCACCTTGACTTTCCACCACGTACTTACTTCCCAATCCTCAATGTTTGGCAAACTCAACCATGCATAATTGGCTTCTGGACTGCTATATGATGACAATGACATTGATGTTACTTGGTGATGGGATGCTTGCTAATTTATGTTATCTAACTTCAGCTGGGCTCTCAGGGCAGTTTCAGACTTGACATGAATTTTTAAATTTTTTTCCTAAATAACTCTGTCCTCTTTACCTCTGCAGTAGAGCTGTTCTATTCTTCTGACACTCCCAAACCCACCTGTATTTTCCTTATATTTATTTATTTCTTAAAAAAATTTTTTTTGGGGCGCCTGGGTGGCGCAGTCGGTTAAGCGTCCGACTTCAGCCAGGTCACGATCTCGCGGTCCGTGAGTTCGAGCCCCACGTCAGGCTCTGGGCTGATGGCTCAGAGCCTGGAGCCTGTTTCCGATTCTGTGTCTCCCTCTCTCTCTGCCCCTTCCCCGTTCATGCTCTGTCTCTCTCTGTCCCAAAAATAAATAAACGTTGAAAAAAAAAATTAAAAAAAAATTTTTTTTTGAGTGTAGTTGACACACAATGTTACATTAGTTTCAGGTGTACAACACAGTGATTTGACAAGTTTGAATACTATGCTGTGCTCACCACAAGCGTAGCTACCACATTTGATACCTACTACATGTTTATACACTATGATAACTGCCAAGTGTCAGGGACTACTTCTGTGAATTCAAATGGCCCTATTTCTTACGTTTCTCCTCCTTCTCTGAGAAAGGTCTGTATTTCCTCCTCCCCAAGGCCCACCTAGGTTTGTGAGTAAGTTTATTCAACTTGCCTCTGTGGTTATGTCCACCATCAGTCCCTTTCTTTCCATGGATTCTTTTTTGCTTACACAAGTGTTCAGTTTCCTTTACCCTTAAAAACAAACTAATAAAACTTCCCTTCTCTCTTAAAGTCCACATCTTCTCTAGCCTTCCCTTCATTGTGTACCTTCTGGGAAGGGCACTGTACTTTCCTCTGTAAGTATGGTGACCATATCTTCTGATCCAAAAGTAGGCCATACCGTCTGCCCAAATTAATAAATCTGTAATGATGTGGGAGAGAAAGACATAAACCAGGTCTGCCCTGGGAGCTCCTAGTTCGTAGACCACCCCGTTGACAGGGCATCTCTGTTGATGGTCTGGGCTCTGCCATTCTTCTCTTGACCCATCCTGTCCCATGCAGCTCAGCCACCACCTCTGAAGCATAGCTCAGGAAAAGTTCTTGGTGATACTTGCTATTTAATTAAGTTGCTCCCCTTTTGCAAGAGTGCTCTCAGTGACAATCTAACAAAAATAGTGAGGAGAAAACTTTAAAGTTTGAACTACACTGCTCTCCACTGATTTCCTGATCCTATTTTGAATATATTCCAGTCAGAACTTTCTGTTTTGTCTTCTGTATAAAAACTGTAGTATCCAAATTATTTTTTCTCTTTGATTCTAAAAGGCAAATGGGTGACTAAGGAATACAATGATTTATTGTAGCCATTTTTATCCGTCTTTTGGACCAACCTGCCAAAAATCAACTACAGTGGAAAGTAAGGGATACCAAATTATATTTGGTTCTCTCTAAGCTCTTATTTGAAATTAATTAAAATACAGCAAGTGTCCAAATCTACATGGCCCACATGGCTTTGCTCTCCAACTTTCTGAATGCTTTAGAAAGAACTGGATTTCCTGAAAATTGAGTCAGAATGTGGCCTGATGACAAGCAGACAGCAGCTTCTGGATATTGATAATTTATGTACAGTGGAATTAGCCATATATGGGAAGTCTTCCCAGAAGTAACCAACTCTGAAACATGATTTCAAAGTATAACACTCTGTGAAAGAAAAGGAGCTCCTATATCTTGTGAAATCACTTATCTAATATGTAAGAGAAAATTTAAAAAACTATACAAATGATGTAAGATAATATATTATAAATGCAATATATCTTGAGATAGGAATCACATGCTCTGATGAATACAGTCTGCTGGCTGGTGAGAAAGAGCAATAAAGGAGACCTAAAAAAATTGAATGAAAGAAGAAAAAGACGCCTGGTCATTGTAACCCCAATAAATGCCATGGCCCCAGGTGTCTCAGTATAAACATAACATCACACTCAAAGGAAACACAAATCTGACGTTAGAATCCTAGAAACATAATGTAGACCTTTTGTGTAGGTTTCCTTAAAGCAGAAGTACTCAGGGTTTTACATCATGCCCCATGAAGACACATCCCAGAAATCTTGGGACATAATTTTCTGTCCCACAATTTCCACACTTTTAGCAGCTGTTAGAAACTTTCCACTTTTTCTCATTCTTGCTGAGCTCTCCGTATAACCTTGCCTTTCACATGCCACATGGCTCCAGCTCCCAGCTCTAAGTCATCCTCACACTACCCCCCTGCCAATCGTCTGCAAGATGGACAACTCTACAATGGATGAAAAACCCAGGGCTCCATGACCCTTGATGCTTCCTTATTAATTGTGGAGCAAAATTCATAAAGCCCCCTGGATGCTACAGTTCTTCTCTTGTGAAAAAAATTTTAGAAAGTTCATGGTGAATAAAATTACGTACCTAATTCACAGTCAATGTTTGCTCGTAGCTCTATGTTCTTCAGTTACTTGCTATCGTAGCTCTATGTTCTTCAGTTACTTGCTATTCTATAGTAGAATAGGGCTGTATCTCTGGACACAGTCCCAACTTGGAAATATTTACCACGAGACCCAGTATCTTCAAATTCTGATTCCCTGCTCGATATTAG